GTGTGTGTGTGTGTGTGTGTGTGTGTGTGTGTGTGTGTGTGTGTGTGTGTGTGTGTAGTGTGTGTGTGTGTGTGTGTGTATGTATGGGGTTTAGCACGATAACTCAAGAAGCTTTTGATTGACATGAATGCTGGTATATGTAGGAATTTGGAAAGGTATATAGCCCTTGTGCTGCAGGACAACTTTTTTTAAGAATCTCCGAGAAAGGATAACTCAAGACAGAAGCTTCGTCATTTTTATTACGTAGGTAGCTCATGTGATGCTCGACAAAATTAAATGGTAATTATGCAAACCAGGAGATTCATCGTTAATAAGAAAAAAATCCCATGAAAATAATATATATAACTTTTGTTATATATAATGCAGTATATTATTAAGAATTAATGCAATGGGACTCTTATTTGCATAATAAATCAGAAAAATGCGAAAAAAAGAACAAAAACAATACCCACATTTTAGTATAGATAATAAAAACGGTTAAAATTCCTACCATAGATCAGTCGATATGTGGTATAAAATTATGGTTTAGAAGTAAGATTTTTACTCTGTAATGGTAGGACACATTACTTACGTTCCAGCTCGGTTAGTCGTACTGAAAGCTTCGTCACCTCCAGTGAGAGGATCTGCAGGTTACCTGTATTTAAAAAAGAGAGGGAAAACTGAGCTTGCTGTGTTCTATTAATGAACATTAACTGAAAAATTGAATTTGGTCCCAATGTGGTCTATCCGAGGCTAAATAACAAAAACGACATGACATAAAAAATTACAATACATAGCTGATCGTTAAATCAAAATGTGAGTTGACAAACAAGATGATAAAAATGATAACAATAAAGTAAATAACAACTAGATAACAACGGTAACATAATGCAAATAAATAATTGCTGAACAGAAGAACCCATTGCAGTAAAAATATCTTAGTTTGTGTTTGAAGTTAAGTAATGCTGTAACTCTTGGGTTAAGCTATTCCAGATATTTGGGCACCTGAATACTATGGAGTAAAATAATTTGTATTGTATTTCATCAACACAACACAAGGCTGAGGAATAACTTAAATCAGATCCACATTGGATCCCAGCTACGTATGTCTTCTATAGCATTTGAACAAACCTTTAAACTGATCTGACATACAACAACTACGGTGAATAATATGGTAGGTACTTGTAATTTGTTTATGTCGTAGACATTATCATATTTAAGTTTCAAAACGATGAGGAGGGATATTCCAAACGTGAACTTGCAACACTCCTTCTCCCTTCTGCCGCGTAAGTGATTGTAAAAACTGACCTGCCACGAAGGGAAGTGCGACGGCCATGACCAGGAAGACCAGCCCGCCGAAGGTCAGCCAGAACTTCTTACACCAGCCGGACCAATTGGCCTTGTTGTAAGTGACTGTGACGTTGGTGTCTGTTCGAACAAACAAGAATATTTGAATGTGTTTATCGCAAACATACAGTCAAATAGTCAAAATAGTCAAATCAACTTTATTGGTCAACAACTGTAGCTGGTACAACGTATGGCAAAGGAACAACAAGTGTACATGCACAAACTAATACTAACATATAATTCTAACGATCTAGTCCATAATGATACTAAAGCTAATCTATTGTGTTTTCTTAAGAGTATTATTACATTCTGTAATTCAAGGGATATATCAGCTATTTATAACATGGTGTCGCTTTTGTAGTGATTCAGAAATGAATTTTCCAACGTACACTGATATCTGAGTAGGACATGAAAGGAGCATATTAAAGATATCTGATTTTGAGTGAAGTAGCGTAATATTAGTTTATGACAATGTTTTAGTATCTGGAACACAGTGTAAGAACTCAGCAGCATTCGTTTCTATAGCTAGAAATCCTTTTACCTGCTCCGGAGACGTGCAGCGTGTTTGGTGTAGTCGCCATGGCGTCCGCAAGTCACCTCCAATCAGTCTGGTCTTGCTGCTCGTGTGTGGCGTCTGGTGAAAAATTAAAAAATGAAAGAAGCCCCTTTAAATGACTGATATTCAGAGAGTTGAAAATTCTGCTTTCATTGTTACTGATGAATCCTACCACACCCTTTTTATTTCAATATTTCATCTTAAACGTAGATTGATGAACAAAATATCCAACGCAAATGACGTACAAAAAATTAAAAGATAATTATGGAACACAATGTAATAAAGTACAATTCCCCACCCAACGACAAAAGCAAATATTTCATTATTATTATTGGATAGGCCGACTACTCTCTCCTCGCAGCCAAGGGCTGAATTGTGAGGAGCTTACAATTATTTTATTTATTTATTTATTGAAAAATGCAACAAGACATTACACTGACTCTCAAGGCAGCAAAGCTGATATTAGAGAGTCAACATATAAGGACAAAACACATAGGGCACATAATTTCAGATACAATGTGAAATACAAGAACAATCATAAAGACGTAACCTATATCATTCTAATTAATTAAGTAGTATATACATAGTAACAATAACGCATTTGGAGGTCAGAGGTCCAGAAAAAAACTACCTCATAAGATAAAATTGGTACTAAATAACAAGACTAGGAGGAACAGCTGGAAGTGCCTTGAAACGGTTTGTTGAAGTGATGTAGGTGTGGAAGGCATGTGAAAGGCGTTTGTAAGAAAGCTTACAATTATGGGCCTTAATCGCAAGAATCTGGAGGTGCTAACTCAGGTGACCTCAATACGACCCCAGGTGTGACCATATGACTGTACGGTTTGAACCACTCACACCGGGAAATGCGGTGGATTCTTTAACGTGCGTGGGGTGTGTCTCTCCCAAACACTGGACCTCCATTTAACGTCCTATCCGAGGGACGTCCCTAACCAAAGCTAGGTACTCATTTACACCTGAGTGAAGTGAGGAAAGTCGTGTTAAGTGCCTTTCCCAAGGGCACAAGATCGGTGACAAGGTGGGGTTCGAACCCGGGACCTCTTGGTTCCGGGCGAAAGACGCTACCGCTACGCCACACGACCCCACTTAAATGATAGGACACAAAACAATGGAAAATTGAAGTTTAAAAGCGATTTGTTGTGGTAATGAATGTTGAGTGACTGAGACCCTCCCTGGTCCCAATACTTGGTCCTGCGTACACAGACGCAAACGGGGCGTATCCATACTATAAGCCCAGCGTCACAACTATACAAAACGCCTGCTTGAGACAGAGACATTCAGGAACTGGTTTTCACCTCCGTGGGGACGTCAGTATCAGGGACACGAGAAGAAGAGTGAAAATACAAAAAGGGCCAACCGTCCTGTATTGAATTTGGCCCAGTCTCGCAAAGAACTTGTATGTATGAGATATTGTTTTTAGACCACATAGCTGCATTTGTACGCCGTTCGTTCACCTTTCTTACTAGGTAGAAGGCAGAAGTGCTGCCAACCAGAAGGTCTGTCGTATGAAATTGGTAGCATATATCAGGTACAGTAAAGGTAACGGTAAGAACAGTGAAAAACAAGTAAAGGTCTCCACTCACCGTTATAGTAGTGCCCAGACGCGGCGTCAGCTCAAACACTGCTGGCTTTCAAAATGTAATGCACGACCGTGGGACAGGGGAATATATGGTCTACATTTCAAAGTACCTTAACATGTTGTCATAGAGAAAAAACAAACATAAAAAAAAACAATCCCATAACATAATCACTCTGGTCAACGAGCAATTCAATTAGAAAATCTTTCGCTGGAAGAAATCTTTAATTTAACAAAACAGGTGCACCCAAGCATGTCTACATGAAACGTACTACTTTAATCCTTTATTTTTCCATGACAACTCTTAAGTCACGTATCAACAGAGCATTTACTCTCTTAGCAGCAACAGGAGGCAACTAAAAGTGTATAAAGCGCCGCTTTTCCAGTTACCAAAACAGATTAATGAGGAATGATGGACTCTATTAAATTGCATATTGCCGAGAATCCCATTAGTGCGGCAACCTGGCAATGACGCTAAACTTCAGAGGCTGGTTTACACTTGTTCTCTGGCTGTGTAGAAATTTCATTATCACGCTAAAACTGCGGGCTTTGTCTAAAAATGGAACAAGGAACTTATGAGTCCACAGTAGAGAATACCGAGAGTGTACAGATTTTAAATCAGGAGGGTGACATTTTATCGAGACCTTGCCAACTTAAGTATACTTCTATGAAGATCGAGAAATACTTATAGTTACGATTTGCGAGGTATGTACTATTGTAGAAACAGATTGGTGAAAGAAGAACAACGCACTATGATGCAGTAGTGTCACGGCGTCCGCTCAAAAATTGCTGGTTTTCAAAATGTAATGTATGGCCGTGGGACAGGTGAATATATGGTCTAAATTTTTAATTTAGGACCTGTACGTACCGTAACATGTTGTCATAGAGAAAAACAAACATAAAAAGCAATTCCATAACATAATCAGTCTTGTCGATGAGCACTTTAATTAGAAAATCTTTCATCGAAAGAAAGTTTTCAAAATGTTTTACACATCAAACGTACAACGTCGATCCTATATTTTCCCATGACAACTCTTCAGTCACCTATGAACACATCATATACCCTCTTAGCAGCAACAGGAGGCAACTAAAAGTGTATAAAGTGCCACTTTTTCAGTTACCATAACAGATTAATGAGGACTGTGATGGACTGATTGAAATGCATGTTACTAAGAGAATCCTATTAGTGCGGCAACCTGGCAATGTCGCTAAACTTCAGGCTGCTTTACAGGCGGGTTGGGCATGGGACAAGGCCGGGATTGGGGCATGACATAAGTAGATTGAAAATGTCTGTGTTTGTCTTTGGGAAGGGTTTACTTGCTTTACATGTCATCATTTTTCTTAATTTTTGTTTATAATATCTAAAGTATAGGCAGGGCAGGTCATTATGAACGATAGGCTCTAATGCTGGCCGTAGGACAGACCTCTGTGAAGTAACCATTGTGTTTGTACTATGTAGTTCCTCAGAGATAATGGTCACACTTCGTCAATTCTAATACGCCGTCAGGGGCAGCGGGGGTCATGACGTCCTTCACAGAGTAAAAAAAGTAGCTGGTTCGGAAACGCAAACAACTTAAGCTTAGCTCATTGAAGAGCTACTCTTCCACTGGTCTTGACAGAGAAGACATACGCTATGTACATTATTTACAGGTTCATTGTACCGGAGAAATTCCCCCTAGCTCTTTTCGACAAGCACAATGAACCATGGACCACGGCTAAACGTCCCGTCCGAAGGACTGCGACCCTACTAAACAGTAGTGTGCATGTCGGGTGAGCGGGGGTCATGACCTCCTTCACGGAGTAAAAAAAGTAGCTGGTTCGGAAAAAAAAAAACTTAAGTAGTGAACAAATGTACAAAGAAGTCCACATTAGTGAGAGGATTGAAACACCAGCAGCGCAGAATTTATTTTCACCATCACCAAAGTCTTACATTTTTATGGGTTCACCACACCACGAAGTGGTGGTGAACCCATATTGCTTTTTCTGATGTTTCTTCTCCTCCTTCTCCTCCTCCTTCTTCTTCTCCTGCCATTTTTTAAATGGATTCAGCTTCTTCATTTTAGGGCCTAAGGTCCTGAAATTTGGTATGGAGGTACAGTGGGCAAATACCCCTAGGCGTTTTTTAAATTTTTGTGATACAGGCTTTTAGAATGGTTTTATTTGAGTTTTTTGGCTGTGTTATAGCAAATGTATTACTGTGTTAGTGTGCCGTGTTTACCACGTCTGGGCATGAGTCATCACAATGGAATGCAGGGCATCAACCAATAGGCATGCAGCTTTCCTCTATACTTCTTGCTGATTGGCTGTTGGGATTTAACTTGATTAACACCTGCACAGAGCATTTCCATACTGACAGTATGTCTTTATTCAAGTGTTTTGGTAGGTATTTCAAGCTTTTCTGCTCCAGCATTGGAATGCGGGGCATGAACGTTTTTTTTTATTTTGAAAATCAACAGTTTGCATTATGCAATTAAAAATCCTAACCAATAAAGTAGGGAATAGCTATCCAACTGTTGTTTTAGTTGTATGTTACTTCATATTATAGTTATATCAATATATAGGGGAATTCTTTTTTACACAACCAAAGAGTCTCACCTCGCTGACGTTTCGGTGTCTATCAGACACCTTCTTCAGAGCTTCTGACTGGAGTACTGCATATTTTCGGAAGTTATATCAATGTAAATCATTGTTTTCCCTTGTGTTTCTCATTCTTTCCCTGCCATGTGGTAAAATGTGGTGAACCCATCGCTGTATTTGCTCCAAAGCAAATATTGGCCTTTTTAGTTCATATATGTTTCAGCTAACTGTATTTGATGGCCACCAATGCTTTTTGTACCTAAATTGTTTTAATAATTATACTTCTACTGAATTTCCATTGTACACGAACATACATCAGTACAATGTGCACACAACTGCCAAACATTGGCAGAGACAAGAGGCAATTGTAACAATAAAGAATAAAAATTCATTCTTCCATCATGATGTTATTCCATGTCATTTTGCTAGTGTACATAACGTTACACCTTGATAAGAAGCCCTTGACTACAACATTACAGTTACATAGCCTTACAGAAAATCAACTTACAGTAAGTAGAGTATTTATTCTTATACTTTTCTCAGACAGATTTTCTTTCTGGAAGAAAAACATTCGGCTCAGAAGGATGAAAAAGAAATGGCATTTTGGTAAGAAGATTTTTTGGTAAGAAACTTTTGAATTTTATCACTCTGCAATTGTATAAGATACAACTTAAGGCAACTTCTTCTTCTGGGTAACTATAGTTACCGTAACAATAGTTTTTGGGACTACTGTATTCCACATAAAAGTAAGTAGTGTCTTATAAGAAATGTAGAACTAAAACACTACAGTTGCGTGTATTACTGAAATTCTAAATTAAACGAATCACCCCACAAAATGCATTACATCAGAAGCGCCCAGCGTCAAAATAAGCCACTAATTTTTTTCGCTCGATCAGTCGCTAGATATTTAAGGTATTGTCATTTGTATCCAAAACTCATATTGCTCCATAACAACTTTATCTGAACACTTCTCCAGTTATCTGAACAAAGATGTCTGCCTCCCTGCTACATTCAAATTTACTCATTCTGGTGTAAGTTTTTAACACACAAAGCCCCTACAATAGAGAGCGCTACTTGTCAGCGTTACAGACATGTAGGATTCATGATTTTGTGGATAACTGGGTGGGATCAGATTTAGTAGAGCAGGTGCGATTATTTTGGCCTGATTTTCATAGACACAGACTTCAGGGAGTAACGCCAGCCTCTCCAGCTGACCCACATCACACCTTGCGCGCGTGGACAGTTTTTCCCACAGTTGCCCAGGTAGCGGCCGTTGAGGTTGGACGCGCTGCAGCCATCAAACCACCAGCCGGCCTGTCCGTACTGCTGAGAACAGTCGCCGCTGCTCCAGGAATCGTTGTCCCTGTCCACAGTGGAGAACTTCTCCCCGTTGAGGCCCGTCATGTCGTCTCCCGCGTTGCCTGAATACCCGGAAAGGCTCAGCCGGTACTGGTCCGACTCACCAGACACCCTAGGGGGTGAACGACAAGTTAAAAAAAATCCTTTGGCATATTACATTATTAAATGTAAAGTAGGCAACTGATGACATAAATATAGAATACAACACGGGGTACTTCGTATCGCCCGAGGTATCGGCCCGACCGCGGGAGGGCCGGGACCGAGGGCGATGCGGAATACACCGTGTTGTATTTTATTTATGTCATACCCACCCAAGAAAACACGCCTTTCAATGCAAGATGAGCCAAAAGTTGGTGCCACTAAACCCTAAAATGCAACAACATCAATTCCAATGTCCGGATTCTGCATTCGAATTTTCGAAAGCGTTGCACGCGGTTAGGGCGAAACGCGTTCGAATCGTTCTATGGAACATTTGGAAGGGCCGGGCCGTACGCGTTAAGAACCCCCGGGCCGTACCGCTAGTTATCACACGGGCCGGAACAACCGTATCGAACGTAATCGCGGCCCAGGTAGGACATAAGCTGCATAATCAACAAGAGTTTGGAGACTTTATACCCCAATGAAAGATTAAGGACATTTGTGGATTTTGTTGTATTTCCACCGTGAAAAATGGGGGTATATTGTCATTGGACAGTGTGTGTGTGTGTGTGTGTGTGTGTGTGTGTGTGTGTGTGTGTGTGTTTCCGCATACTTGTGGTCAGCATAACTTTAGAAGGCCTGGATAGATTTAAAATCCGTTAAACATTTTCTTACTTATCTGCTTTAAAAGATTTCACGTCATGTGAAAAAAATGGCAGCCACGAGGGGTGTGAAACGTATTCTGGAGTGGAAACCTCCGGGAAAAAACCCTTGGCAGACCCAGGATGAGATGGACTGATGGTCTCAAGAAAATCCTGGCCAAAAGAACAAACCTTTCCTTTGGAGATGCCGAGAAACTGTGCGGAAACCGCACAGCTTGGAGAACTCTAAGCACGACTCTCAACTGACAGACCAGTATGGTCTACAGGCAATCTGGTGAGAGACTTTTCCATGTGTATTTTCTATCATGTACATGTACTTAACAAGGGACATCCTAACTGTGCTGTCTGCCTAGAATCCCCACTAGGAGGAGGAACACTAACCTAAATGTGTCGTATTCCGCGTAGCGTGTATTTTTTCCCCAGTCCATCACGTCCACACGCAGTCTATAGCCCTTCTGAGTAGTCAGGCGGTGGATGTTCTCGTTCCCAAGCCAGTATTCCCCGTTCTTGTTCCCAAACCCTTGCTTGTACTCCTCCCAGTTCTTGTTGAAGGGAACTGACCCGTCCAGTCGCCGTTGGATCACGGTCCATCCGCCTCCTGTGGGAAAACACTCCTTATTATTCTTTATGCTATTTTAAATAGAAACAGTTTTAAATGGAAACAGCACGAACCATGCTCGCTTTGCGGAGGAGATTGATTGGAATATAAGACCGACCCTGTGAATTATTTCTCATGAAAATAGGGATTTGACCAACAGAGTCGACTAAAGTTTAGTGTTGCTTTTTGCAGTTCATGCACACCTGTGTATATTACGGCTGCCTATGTGCCTTATGTATCTACCTGCTGT